TCTCGCGTCTCTTGCCCCTCTTCATTCCCAGTCCCTTTTTCAGGTATCCACGTTGTTCGATGACCTGTGGGACAGGTCAGGGTTCGAACCTGCGATCGTCTAGTGCTCAACAATTTGCCTCAGCCAGGGACCTGCTCTCCATCTATCTGTCTGTATTCTCACTGCCCTGGGAGACGGCCTATTAACCTGCCATGAAGGTGTGCGGTCTGCCCCGCGGGTGCCAGCAGAAACAGGCCACCGGTGTAGCATGCAGAAGTTCTAGGAGCTCTTGGAGCAGAAAAGGGTAATTCAGTGATTCTTGGAACCCGCCAGCTGTGGAAAATGCAGTCACTCTGGAGAGAGAGCCGACTCCTGCTTCCGTTCTTCCCTGGCTGGGCAAACACGGCACCAACAGAACAACTCATCTGTCAGCACTATCAGCAGGGCCACGGAGCGGCCACGTCCTCGGGTTACCTTCGCCACTGCCTTCAGCTGTCTGTTCCCGTGGCGAATGAGGTCCAGCACGGCATCGAGGGCTCCGGGTGTGTCAAAGTCATCGGCAAACGCAGCCTTCACCGCCAGCTTTGTGTTGGTTAGTCTTGGAGGGAAAGTAAGGAGAGAAACAGGGAACTTCAGGGAGCAGCAGAACTAGTGTGGATTCCTTCCATGGTGGGCACATGCCGTGGCAGTGTGGTGGTGACGAGTTGGGCTGCAATCCAGAAGGTCAGCAGCTCAAAACCGCCAGCCGCCGTGCGGGAGAGGGGCAGGGCGGTCTACTCCTAGAAAGGGTTACAGTCTTGGCAACTCTGGCGGCAGTTCTACCCTAGCTTAGCCGCTCACTATGAGTCTGCATCGGGTGAGTGAGTGTTTGAGCCTCAAGGAACCAAGTCAATTCCTCATCAGCAAAGCACCTTTTCCCAAGAAGGGCCAGCGGTTTGAACCTTGAGGGTTCTTCCTAGGTTAAGGTGACCAGACGTCCCGCTTTTGGTGGGACAGTCCCGATTTTGAACAATTTGTCCCGCATCCTGAGGCATTTTTAAAAAGTCCCGATTTTTTGAAAGAATGCACGACAAGCTAGGGTAGACGGTTTTCGGCCGCCATGTGGCTATTTCGCCAGGATATGAGTTTTATCAATGGGGTCCCGTTTTACCAATGTTAAAATGTGGTCACCTTATTCTAAGTTACGCTCCCAGAGACTTGCACAGGTCTCACGCTTCCCTCTTTCTCAGAGAGCTGTACTCTGCAACACTGAGCTCGTTGTTTGCCACATCATCCGGAACCATGGAAAACCACCTCAAAGTCATCAGGTTAGCCACATTCAAAACCCTAGAGGAGCGGGCCTGGGGCACCTGTAGAACTTGGGTTTGAACACTTTCCTCGGGGCTCTGGGGCCCAAAATAACGTCAGAATCTTCACTCCCAAGTTAGCATGCAGAAGTGGTGCGGGGTGAAGACAAAGGGGGGTGGGAATGAAGGAGGTTGACAGCACTCAGCAGGCAGGATGAGGAGCACCACCTTCCTGGGCCCGTCCCACAGGCCACCGCTCCGAGGCCGGACACGTGTAGCCAAGCCCTCACTCCCCACCGGCTCCATCTGACCGTGGGGCCAGCACCCACCATCCCTGTCTGAAAAGGCACGACTAGGGACTAGCTGAGAGACGTTCCGAGAGACATCTGGAAAAGGGCAGTCACTGTCGCTGGGCGGATGGAGCTGTGAAGGTGGCTGTTTTCCCCAGCAGCGAAGACCTGGAGCCACGGGAGTGAGACACAGTCCTGAAATTACTGCCCGGTGATAATCTGCAAAGCTTCAACCCAAACTATCCCTTGAGCTCTTCATAAAACCAAGTAGTTTAGCTGAACTACGGTTAAAAACTGTCTGTCTTGAGCATGGTGCTCGTCGAAGGACTAGCTACATGGCTCAGAGTGACACCACCGCATAGAGGACTCAGGTGGGAACCTTTCTGGGTGGTGCGTTCATGCTAACAGGCGAGGGACAGCTCAGGAAAGGAGGGTGGCCAGAGTGCCTGCACAACCCCAGGAGTGTAGTGAATGTCACGGAACTGTCTCTGTGTGCTTTGCTATGTCTGGGAAGCCAGCTGTCCATCGTCTTGAGTAGCTGCCCGAATTTGGTGTCAAGACACGCTTTGGATTGGGCTCGAGGAGTGGGCCACTGGGCCAAACGGCTCACCTTTCCCACAACTGGTCTTCCTTGACGGGGGCACAGGCCAGCTGTCCTCTGATGTAGGCGCGGGCGTCCTCGGTGAAGGAGGCTATCCCCAGGAGGAGGTGCTGGGCTTCCCGCATGGTGCTGTCGCTGTAGTCGATTGCTGAGAAAGAAGGGACGACATTCCCTTTGAACACATCCCACACCAAGCAGACGCAACCGCACCACAGCTCCTTCCAGTGCAGCCTGCCCTCACACACTCTAGGATCCAGCAGAAATAGAGGACACGCCGTGTCCCGAGCCCCATCAGACACAGACTACAAAGTGGCCTGACTAGAGGGCCATGCTACCCTGGAAGAAGAGAGGTGGCCCAAGGAGAAACATGAGTCGGTTCCAACTCACAGCGACTTTCCAGACAGCTGAACACACTGCTGCCAGGCCCGGGCCACCCTGACAATTGTCGCTCTGTTTAAGCCTGTGGATGCAGCCGTTTCTCCATCAACCGGGCCAGTCCATCTTGTTGGGGGCCTGCCTCTCTCCCCCTGACTATCCACCTCACCAAGCATGCTGTCTCTCCCAGAGCCTGCTCCCGCCTGTTAAAATGTCCAAAGAGAGAGTCCAGATCGCAGAATCAGGGGAATGAAAGGATAACGGCCACAGAGGGTCTGAAAGAATACTAAGATATAAACTAATATAGCTCTTGGAGTTACAGGGTGTTAAAAAACAAAACAAAAACCCTTCAAGCATTATCCACCCAAAGTCTATTTTTTAGGAGGCAGTACATGAAATTTCTAAACCATTATTGGTCTTCCAATTTTAAAATGTATGTGACATTTTAAGGTTAGATGAGCAGTAAATACGTCAGACCCTGTTGCTCACGTAAGCACTCACCAATGACATTTCCCCAGTGTTTTAGAGCAAGAGCCGACGAAGGCGGAGCGCTAACCAAAGATGGCACTGTGATCAACTATTCAGAGCTGGCTAGGGACCTTCACTCCCACAGAATAAAAGGCAAAATTAAGTGGTTATTTGCTAAGCACTGGCAGAGTGAATTTCTCGTCACCTTCAAGAAACTGACATGCAATGTAGACTAAACTTCAGTGTTAGCGAGAGTCCAGATGAATCAGATCAAAACAAAGAATGGGGAGTTAAGGAGCTAACTGAGGGTTCCTGCAATGGAGAGGGTCTCAGAAATGCTAGAGAGGGAGAAAGCAAACAGCACAGAATGCCCATGAATTCTAGAAATAGTGTTCCTCCCAGATATTTGAAAATGTGGGCACACAGAAAACAAAAATAAGGGGCACCACCCATATCCATCCCTTGAGCAAAGAAAAAAAAACAAAGATCTTTGAAGTGGTATCTGATCTATGTGGAACACTAGTATGTGTTTTTAAGAATACAAATAGATCAGCAACAAAAAGACAAACAACCCAATCAAAACACGGTCTCGAATAGACACTTCACCAGAGGGTATTTCAGTGGGAACCAAACATGTGAAAAGATGCTCAACGTCACCAGCTCTGAGAGAGGGTAAAGCCCAAAGCATAATGAGATGGCATTTCACTCCAACAAGGATGGCCAACAGGAGCTCTAGTGGCACAGCGGGTTAGGCATTTGGCTGCTGACCACAAGGTAGGTGACTCAAATCCCCCAGTTGCTCTGTGTGAGCAAGATGAGGCTCTCTGCTTCCAGTCCTGGAAATCTTGTATAGAGTCAGTAGATGCTGGAAGTGATTCCATAGCAGTGGTGAGGATGGTTGGGATAAAAAAAAACAACTGTATTAGAACAATAACAGATGATGTCAAGGATGTGAGGAAATTGGAACCCTTACCTGCTGCTGAGAGGAACGCCACATGGCATAGCTGTTGTAGAAAACAGCAGGCCGGTTCCTTAAAAA